AAAAACCACTGAATTGTGTACTTTAAGTAAACTGTATGGTGTGTGAATTACATCTCGATAAAGCTGATGTAGAAACCGATAAAAGAGCATGAAAAGATAGCTATTTGTGCTCTGGGATACCTGCAATTCAGTTAGAGATGTTCATGACTGCCATATGTAAAGATGTTGAGGACAGAGAGAGCTGATATCAAATGAGTCCCCAGAAGCCATCAGAGTACATATTTCAATTTTCTGGTATTAATCTGTATGTTACATAGGCAAGTCCCTGTTTCTTTGGCGTGAATAGCAATATTGATGCATTTCTTTATTGAGGATGAATGATTACCTTAAGCAATTCGTGGCATGAAGGCAGCTAATGCACATTAAAATATAACTCCCACGGTCCCTAACTCACTACATGGTACTATCATTCCTCCAGTTGCCCAAGCTAGAGATCTAGGAGTTATCCTCACACTTCCCTCACTCCCATTTCTAATTTATCACCAAGAGCTGTCAATTTTGCCTCCTAAATATCTCTTAAATTTATCTACTTCTTTTTAGGTTCTAACATCAACAACCTAGTTCAAGTATCTTCTTTTATCTCAGCTACTGCACGGATCTCTTAACTTGTCTCATATCTACTCATGCTTCCTTCTATACCTTTCTATTTTTAAAATTTTTCAAGTGTATGTGACATTGCTTTTTCCTTACCAGTAGCTTCCCATTGCTCTCAATAAAAACTGAAATCCTGAATGTGGCCAACACAGACGGGCTAGCCCGTCTGTCCTCATCTTAGCCACTCTTCCCCTAACAAAGCACTGTTAATACTTTACTCCACAAGGCCACTTAATTAACCACCTGATAGACAAATATGGTGGCATCTTTACCCTGACTTCCAATATTGGTCACCAACTCCTTATCAAAACTCTCTTTTCTCTTGTCTCTTTTTAATTTTTATGTATTTATTTATTTTTGAAACAGGGCCTCACTAAATTGCCCAGGCTTGGTTCACATGTGTGATCTTTCTTCTTCAGCCTCCCAGAGTGCTGGGATTACATGTGTGTGCCACCACATCCAGCCTTTTCTTGTCCTTCATTTTGTCATCACTCCTTTGTGTTACCTTTCCCTTCTTATCACTCAACTATGAACATTTTCAATACTCTCTACTCTTTTCCTCTTTGTGTGCTATACTCTGTCTAAGTGAATTGATATGCTTTAGTACCTGAGTTCCAGTTCATGTCTGCAGCTGTCCATATGATATCTTCTAAGTTACTTCAAACTCAACATGTTTAAAATAGAACTTATTATTTTGATTCCTTGTCCCCAGAAACATTGCTTTACTTTTTTCAGTAATACCAGCATTCTTTGTCATTTACACTACATACTTATGGGCCATTTTGAGTTGACCTATCTTGTATTAGTTACCAAGTTCTATTGATTCTTCCTTTGGAGTGTTTCTTACATTTTTTTCTATTGTCACCATTTTAGTTTGCCTCCATCACTGCATTCTTAGATTTTTTTACTATTGACTTTAAGCAAGTCTTGGACTGGTGGTGTAGCTCACTGGAAGAGAACTTGCCTGGCATTCATGAAGCTCTGAGTTCGATCCCCAGAATCCCCCCCAACACACACACACACACACACACACACACACACACAGAATTTAAAAGTGTCTCTTTGCCTGTGTTTTTCGACACTTGGATCTGTTCTAAATGACACTAACATCTCAGTCTTACTAAAACTAATTTCATCTTATCATTTTTCCTCTCAAAGACTTCCAGTACCTTCCCATTTGTAGCAAAATAAATTCCAAACTCTGTGGCCTATAAAGCAAAAGTTTTTATACTCCAGCCCATGAGATATTAGTTAACATTCCTCATACCCTAGATTAAATAAAGTTACATGGTTTCTTTACTGTAAAACTGCCTTAAACTTTCAGTGAATTAATGTACATTATAACATTTTAGGAGGCTGCTATATAGAATGCAAAATTTCTGAGACTTTTTTCATAAAGAAACCTAGTTTCAGAGACCATCTGTTAACATTTCTCATGACACTGGTGTTCTGAGGAAGCACATTTAGTAAATGCTTAGGAAGCTTATCCTACATTTCCAGTCTCATTTCTACATAAATTGTCTGCTTAGGTCAAACAGCTCTTAGTCTTCTTGAGATGCACTCACTCTCAAGTATAATCCATGTCTTCATTTATTCTGTTTTGCCCATATGGAACACCATTCTCTCTCTCTCCTCATGACACTGGTGTTCTGAGGAAGCACATTTAGTAAATGCTTAGGAAGCTTATCCTACATTTCCAGTCTCATTTCTACATAAATTGTCTGCTTAGGTCAAACAGCTCTTAGTCTTCTTGAGATGCACTCACTCTCAAGTATAATCCATGTCTTCATTTATTCTGTTTTGCCCATATGGAACACCATTCTCTCTCTCTCTCTC